ATTTTTTCTACAACCGGGTGGAGTAGACGTACCTAGCAACGGTGTTCCTGAGAATGTCGCTTCCATCCACAGGTTTCCAGATGATTATCCTTGTTTACCTGTGTTTTGAGGTCAAAACTCGGCCTGATTGATAGGCTGACGGTCTCTCTCTCACCTCTCGTTTTGTCTCTTTTGTAGTGGGGTAATTAAACGGTAGATTTCTCTGGGTAGCTCTCTCCCCGCCGAACGTATGTTGATTTTCGCATTCAGATAAAAACGATTATGTGCGGAGCCCTCGCGTTGTTCTCGGTCGTCATTTTATCTCTTTCTTTCTCTCTCTCTCTCTCTCTCTCTCTCTCTCTCTCTCTCTCTCTCTCTCTCTCTCTCTCTCTCTCTCTCTCTCTCTCTCTCTCTCTCCCTCCCTCCCTCTCTCTCTCTCTCGCTCTCACTCTCTCTGTCTTTCTTTCTATCTATCTCTATCTCTGTCTCTCTATGAATATGTATATATATTATTGTATATCTTCTTCTCCCCACCCTGCTTGCTTTCTTGCTTTTACCCATGAGTCGTTGAAAGAGTTAATTAACATGTCGTGCGGACAGTACAGTACCGTGAGAACAGATCCCAACAGAGTATTTGTGTGTCAAAATGTTTCCGTGTCCATGCACGTGCCGGAGCTGCTCCAGATGATGTATACCTTGTTTGACCTGATGTCTGTGAGGGTCAAAAACTCGTGACTGATTTGATGAGACTGATGGGTCTGCTCTGTACGCGCTCACGTTTGTCGTCACTTTTGTGGTGGAGGGTTAATCAGACGATACAATTTCTCTGGTGTAAGCTCTTTCCCGACGGAACGTATGTTGAATTCTTGCATGTCATGTATAAAAACGATTATGACCGGATTGCTTTGTGTTGTTCTCGGATTCGATCGTCTCTCTCTCTCTCTCTCTCTCTCTCTCTCTCTCTCTCTCTCTCTCTCTCTCTCCCTCCCTCCCTCTCTCTCTCTCTCGCTCTCACTCTCTCTGTCTTTCTTTCTATCTATCTATCTCTATCTCTGTCTCTCTATGAATATGTATATATATTATTGTATATCTTCTTCTCCCCACCCTGCTTGCTTTCTTGCTTTTACCCATGAGTCGTTGAAAGAGTTAATTAACATGTCGTGCGGACAGTACAGTACCGTGAGAACAGATCCCAACAGAGTATTTGTGTGTCAAAATGTTTCCCTGTCCATGCACGTGGCGGAGCTGCTCCAGATGATGTATACCTTGTTTGACCTGATGTCTGTGAGGGTCAAAAACTCGTGACTGATTTGATGAGACTGATGGGTCTGCTCTGTACACGCTCACGTTTGTCGTCACTTTTGTGGTGGAGGGTTAATCAGACGATACAATTTCTCTGGTGTAAGCTCTTTCCCGACGGAACGTATGTTGAATTCATGCTTGTATCATGTATAAAAAGGATTATGACCGGATTGCTTTGTGTTGATCTCAAGAGGATTCGATCGTCACTCACTCACTCTCTCTCTCTCTCTCTCTCTCTCTCTCTCTCTCTCTCTCTCTCTCTCTCTCTCTCTCGTTCTCTATCTATCTATCTATCTCTCTCTCTATCTATCTATCTCTCTCTCTATATATAATTATATATAAATATAATATATTATTGGATATCTTCTCTGCCCCTCCCCGCTTGCTTGCTTGCTTTTAACTACGAATCGTTGAAAGAGTTAATTGACATGTCGTGGTGACAGTGCCGTAAGTACAGAACACAACAGAGTATTTGTGTGTCAAAATGTTTCCGTGTCCATGCACGTGGCGGAGCTGCTCCAGATGATGTATACCTTGTTTGACCTGATGTCTGTGAGGGTCAAAAACTCGTGACTGATTTGATGAGACTGATGGGTCTGCTCTGTACGCGCTCACGTTTGT